ATTAAAACCAATGTGGCTTACTAGAGAAGTAAAACAAGAGATTAAAAATAAGAAAAGGGCATTTCAAGCATTTAAATCAGACAAATCAGAGGCATCCTATTTAAGATATAAGGAAGCCAATAACGCTTGCAAAAAAGCAATTAAAGTGGCTAAACTAGAAAATGAGACATTGATAGCTAAAGAATGCAAAACCAACCCCCAAAATCTTTTCAAGTACATCAATTCTAAAAAAAACAAAAAATGAAAGTGTAGGTACACTGGAAACAGAGTTGGGTTTATTAGCTAATGAAGACCAGGAAAAAGCAGAAATTTTAAATAACTATTTTTCTTCAGTATATATTAATGAGGATCCTATGGCAAGAGATATGCAAATGATTGCTGCAAATAACTTGTGATTGGATAACTCGAGACAAGGTGCTACAGCTATTAAAGAAAATTAATGTAAATAAAGTTTCGGGGCCTGACGGTATTCACCCACGAGTACTTAAGGAGCTAAGTGGGGAAATAAGTGAACCTCTGTATTTAATTTTTCAAGATTCTTTTGTTTCAGGTGTTGTACCGGAGGATTGGAGGAAGGCAGATGTTGTTCCTATATTTAAAAAGGGTTCAAAATCCTTGCCTGGAAATTATAGACCTGTGAGCTTAACTTCTGTAACTGGGAAAATATTTGAAGGGCTATTAAGGGATAATATTCAGGAATTCATTGGGAAGAACTTTGTTATTAGCAATAATCAGCATGGTTTTATGAAACATAGGTCATGTCAAACTAACCTAATTGTACTCTACGAAGAAGTAAGTAGAAGTATAGATCAGGGTGTTGCAGTGGATGTGATCTACTTGAATTTGGCGCCAGATACGTGAGGGGTGTGTGGCTCCTCCTCGTCCTGAGTCAGCTGTCCCGCCTCCTGGGGTGCCGGGGTTTTTTTGTCATCAGTCTGGGTGGAATGACCTGGGTTCGGTGGCTGTTTGGGATTTGGGTGCTCTTAAATCTGGACATGTTACGCATTCTGTTTCTTCCCAGAAGTTCTCAGGGGCCGGGCTGAGGCTATCGCCCATTCCTGTTGGCAATGCGCTCAGCAATGTGAGTGCCTTGGTACGATGCCGTCGGGAATCGGACGAGATGGGTTTCTAGGTTTGTCTTGGGGGCTTGGGGGATTCCGGTTCGCCTTAGGGTTTGGCTGGATGTGGCCTAGTTATCTCGAGGGGATGGATGTGCTTGCTGGAGGTCGGACGAGGCCTATGTTACTGGTGCACTGAGGAAAACTCCAGCTGGAGTTGAAACGCGGTTGCTGCTGGACCAAAGTATTGTATCTGGGGCTTTTTCTTATTTACTCTGCGGTGTTTTATTTAGGCTTTGTGCTTAGTATATTTTACTATTTATACACTGCTTATTGTCCCTGTTTTAATTGTTTCTTTGTTCAATAAATTTTGGATTCTGCACTTTGTATCCTGTGCTGCTCTCCTCATTGTTTTAGCCTTTTTATGCACTCTCCTGCATATTATATAGAGCCTGGGACGGCTTTCAATCCTGTGAGTTTTACTCTACATAAGGGGTCTATCATTAAATCTATCATTAAACCCCCCAAAAAAACCAAACCCGCTGCAGCGGCAACTGGTGGGAGTCAGTGGAAGAGACTTAGGGGGCCTGAATGCACAAGCCACCGTTAATGGAGGCCCAAAAGGAAACCCCCAGACAGCCCCAAGGGCAACACCGACAGGCAAAGCCCAGCACAGCTGAAACCCCCAAAACCACCGACACCTCCCACCGGATGTACAAAACTGCATTCTCGGGCAACCGACGTTCCCCGGCCAGACTCGATCCCACTATCCAGGAGACTACTGCACTTATCCCTACCCACGGAACTCCGAAACGCTGAAACACTACCCCAAGAAAAACACCACAGCAGCAGAGCAAGACGTGCAACACTGTCGGCCCCACACATAAGCGACATTAAGAGCCACCCGCGCGGAGGCACATAGCCACATAACACCGACCGTCAGAAATACGGCCTGAAAAACAATAACCTGCCGGGCGCATCAGCAGCAGCCAGAAAGCAGATTCTACTGCTGCCTTTGTCAGCAAGGACCCAGAGCCATGCAGTTCTAACCACGCGGACCGTTGTGTCCTGCCCTCCCATACCTAACCCCTTGGAGGGAAAGACAACTGAGTAAATAAGAAATCATGCGATATCAACCCTGCCCCTCTCTGGGCACCATGTCCCAAGGGGGGGGACCCGCGGAGCGGACTTCGGGGGCACCCTAAAATTGGTCGGGAGGTACGCTTATCAAGCTTTCTCGGTAAGCTGCTCTTGTACCACCCGATGGAAGTCTCATATGGGCCGAAAGGTCCTGCTCGGAGATCACCCGCGTCCCCTTTTTTTTTGAAGTTTCCAAATTTTTATTTAATCATTTAGTTATATATTTATTTATTTATTTATTAATCTTGTATTTCACATTCTAGTCATGTATTCCTTCAGTTTTATTTATTTATTTTTTACATTTCAAAATTTTTATTTATTCCTTTTTTTTTTTGTGCGCGCTAAGACCCCCCCTCCCAGCTCACAAGGTCCCGACGGGATACAAGAAGGGACAACGTCCTCACCAGCCAATGCCCGGTGCACCACCCACGGCATAACAAGCATAGAAGTCCAGGCAGAAGATATTGAAATCAGCTTCCACTGTGGTCCTCCAAGGTGTTCCAGGCGCCACCTGCTGGGCATTTCTAAGAACTGCAGCCAGGACCTGTGAGAAGGGCATGGAGAGGACGTGCCACCAGGAGGCAGCCGAGGTAAGTAACCAGCAGAGAGAAGAACAGAAGGCAGAGAGGGAAGAGCAGAAGGCAGAGAGGGAAGAGCAGAAGGCAGAGAAGACCCAGGAACAGGTAAGAGCAGGGGAAGAGAGGAAAAGGTGGGGAGGACAAAGAGGAGAGAAACAGAGAGAGGGGTAGAGGGAAGAGAACAGAGAGAAGGGAAAAAGGGGTTGAAAGAACAGAGGGAAACAGGGGGACACCAGGGGAGGAGCTGAGCCCCCCCCCCCCGGAACGCCAAAAGGGGAACCGGAGAAAAGAGGGGAGGGAAGAAATTGAAAAAAGGGGGGGTGCAGGGGAGAGAGGCCCCCCCCGGCTCCATCCTCACTGGCAGAGGAGGCCCCAGGAGAGGTCCCCCCAACCCCCAACGGCAGCGAAGCAGTCCCCTCTCTGCCCAGCCGGGCTCACTCACCTCCGGGGCCCTGTCCCAGGCCCCGCCGTCTCGCTTGACATGGCCGGCCACACAAGGCGCGGGATGCGCCGCCCCAATGCAGCCACTGCTGCATTGATCATAGCCTGGAAATCTACCAGAGTCTTAGGAGTTCTCCATATCCAATCACAATCACAGGCCACTGTGGCTCACCCAATGTATACAGTACCACAAGGGCAATAGTATGTAGGCATCCAGACCACAGAAATACCTATTGGGCACTACGGGCAGCGGCTTGTATTGACCAAAGTGTACAGACAGTTTGGCAGTATAAAATCAGGCACAGTAAGTATAGGCTGTGTAACGGACCGTTTTGCACAAAAGGGGTAAAAAGGGGTTAACAGCCGTTTAGGCGATCGGCCCCCTTTCCAGAGATGCAGGCACAGCTACTGCAGAACACCAAACACACGAACCGCCAATAAGTGAATGCTCCAAACTCCCGAACGGCATTCAATATAGCACTCCAAACAGACGAACAGGAACCATACGAATTGCTGCTACCAGACGAATAGGAAAAGCATCCAAGCGGCTTACACTCCTAGCAATCAGTCTCTATAAGCATTCAGTAAATCCCCCCAAAGACGAGACAAGGCTCAGTGTTGAGGGTCAAGCAGTGGTCTGTTTAATGAGGGCTACCTGCCCAGTATTTATGCAGGTCTCCCACCTGGTGGACACTCCCCTAGGGGACCAAATGGGAGACTGTGACAAGGGACAGACAAGCAGACAAATAGGACACACAGTCACAGTATATTCCCACAATGCATCCTGGCTTCCTCCCCTCTGCCCTGGGAGATAATTGAGAAGTAATTCAATTATCTCCCAAGACAAAGGCAAATCTCCATTATGCACATGGGGATACTAAAACAAGCATTACTGTTAAAATACACCAGGTAAGACACATTACATTAAAACTATACATTTAACATATCCCCAGATAGCTCAGGTCTGAGCGCACATTATTAAGTGAATGAATGGCGCTCAGACCACACGAATACAGTTTAATCGCCATGGAGCCAAAGTCTTTACAGTCAGTTTCATACGAATGGGCTCCATGGGATTCCTATCTGGGGTATAACACATTCAAACAAAACTACCGAACACCGGGCCGTTCGTGCACTTCCATTGAACAAGAAGGGAGGTCGGCGGCTTCAGCGGTGTTCGCGCAAAACTGTGTCCGATTTTAGTACCATGAAAATAGAGACGAACACCGCTGTGCATTCGTATGTTAAAAACAACCTCGTGTTCGGGATACGAATGGCGGCCACCCAGCATTCGTCAATTAAGCTGCGGTTAACCGCAGCTTCAGGGAGGTTAATTGCCGGCACACTCCAGCCCCCAGGTGGTCTATTCATTCGTGCGGTTGTTCGGTAGATTGAATCTACCGAACTACCGAACAACCGGCAGAAAAGCACAAATACAGCTTTTCTGCAGGCGAAACAAAGTCTTTTAACAGGGGGCCATAGTCCAGAGACAGCAGGCGAGCAACCAGGCTTCTCCAATGCAATGTAGCGAGATTGGTCTTGTCACAGGCTGTATATTGAAGGTGGTCAAATAACTGGGGCTCACCCAGTGTAGGAGACAGCAACAGCAGGCTCCACTCAGCAGCACAATTACATGTAAGTAATTAGAAGGGCCACCCCATAAACCAGTATGACAAGCAGCACCTACCACTCAAGTAAGACCTCTAGAGTCAATGCACTGACCTTAAATTTGCTCCCCATGCCCAGGCAGGTAGAATTGATTGTAAAGAGGTGTAAACTTGTAGAATCCGTGGAACGCTTCATGAATTTTGAGTGTCATCCTTTCGTAGGGGCAATGCTAATCTTCTCTGTATCGTTTAAATTTTAGTATATATGCTGCCAAAGCGGGCACCAGCAGTAGCAATGATGCAGACAGGTAGTGTGTGAAGGAGTGGTCAGCCCACTTTTTCACGGCACTCGCTACCATGCTGATGCACCAAGATGGCCACCACAAACCATCAATAAGCTCCGAAGAGCTGAGGATTGGCCTGCGCTGAACAAGAGGAAGGAGGGAAACAAATAACACAACTCAGAGGCAAATAAGTGCACTGCAGCCTGCCGGGAATATCGGTGCATTGGAACAGAAGTGAGAGTGTGTGGGGCAGGCAGAGCCTGCCAGTGAAAAGGGAAAAACAGTAATGGTACAGGCAAAGCAAGCCAGGAATGGGACAATAAGGCCCAGTGTGCAGCCAGGGCCTGCCAGGAAAGGGACAATAAGGTCCAGTGTGCAGCCAGGGCCTGCCAGAAAAGGGACAATAAGGCCCAGTGTGCAGCCAGGGCCTGCCAGGAAAGGGACAATAAGGCCCAGTGTGCAGCCAGGGCCTGCCAGGAAAGGGACAATAAGGCCCAGTGTGCAGCCAGGGCTTGCCAGGAAAGGGACAATAAGGCCCAGTGTGCATATTATATTTACATTACATATAAACCTAGTCCATTATTTATATTACACATTGAAGGGAAGTTAATTGTTTTACCTATACAGAGCTATATAAATATATATTTATTAACCTAAGGATGTATTGCATAATGAGACGTGGGTTTAATAACATATATTATCCTGATTTAATAACATATATTATCCTGTATCTACAAATATCTGGACAGGTCTTCATTGATGGTTTTGTTGGTGGAAGAGGACAAGGGAATAGAGGTGAAGAAATAATTAAAGTCCAACAGGTGTAATTAGTACACCTGGATATACCGTGTCTAACACTCTAACCTGCAGTGCCAGAAAAAGGGACTTGTCATAGATACAGGTAAATAAAGGGTTAAAAAGGTTTTTGCCTTAGTTAAGTCTTTCCACATCTGCAGGGGTTAAAAGCAATAATTTTCTCTCCTGTCTGCAATCTGTTGCAAGCACCAACTCCCTTTTTGTTCCCACTGGTCAAAGTGACATAGAGAACTCAGACTGCATATTTTAGATAAGATGTGCTTTACATGCGCAGTAGTCTAACTACAATACGTAATGTTATATGAATAATTCACTAAAACTTCAATGATTGGTTGATTCTGCCTTCTGTATACACCCCTAAGAAAACTGTGTTTCATATATACGATGTACACGCATTAAAAACACACACTTTCGAGAACTTCATAATGACTGGCGTACATTGATTGTTCACTGCAGTGAACATACATAGAGACAAGCGAAGCAAAATGTGTAGTGCATGAGTCCATGGCAGCGTAAGGGTTACAGACACTGTAGAATTTTGCAGCCTAACACATATAGACCTAGCCCATGATTTATATTACACATAGACCTAGCACATGATTTATATTACATATAGACTTGGCCCACGATTTATATTACATATATAACCGGTCCATGATTTATATTACATATAGATTTGGCCCATGATTTATATTACATATAGACTTGGTCTATAATTTATATTAATATTACATATAGATTTATTGATATTATACTATGATACTGATATTGGTATTTATTGATATTATATTTGGAAATTGGTTTATAGATTGGGTTGGGAGGGTACAGGGAATCATGGATTACATGGGAGAAGGGAGGTCAGGGATTACATGGGAGAAGGGGGGTCAGGGATTACATGGGAGAGGGGGGTCAGGGGTTACATGGGAGAGGCGGGGTCAGGAGTTACATGGGAGAGGGGGGTCTGGGATTACATGGGAGGGGGGG